ACTCACTCAAGAAAAATAAACATTAACAAGAACTATTGAGAGAAAAACGTATATTGCTTGATGATCTTTATTGGAGGTCTAGGCCTCTATTTATATACAAAAAGATGGTGGAATTATGTTAGGACTCGCCTTACTTGTCCTCCAATTCATTCCATATACATCATTATTTACAAATAAAGTTATTTCCTTTTCATAATTCCTTCCATGCTAGACTTTCCTTTCATAAAGTTTTCCTTCTATGATGAATCCTTTGATTAGCAGGACTTATTCATTCTCAAATAATTTAGACCGGATACATCTTGGGCCAGCTGAGTTTGAGTAATGGGCTGGACGACTAGTACCATCGATCTTGGTCTAAAGGTCGACTCAATTTGGGTTGGACCCAGATTGGGCTTCTGTAACTGGGGCTCGACCCGGATTGGGCTCTCGCAATATATCACATGATTGAAAATATAAATTCGTAATGTGATGACGTGGAAGACTCTCACTGAAGGGGGATTTTTCCCTCCACAAGTTGCATTGTAATCCATGAAAATATTAATTTAAAGTTTTATTTTTTTGGGTCTAATGATAGTTAATTCTTTTTATTATTGTTCAAGGCGGGATCTCCTTATTTATTTATTATGGTTCAAAATTTTGTAATCAAGTTGCATTTAAATCTAATCAAGTTTCATACAATGAAATTGCATATACTCAATGAAAATATTATTTTATTTTTGTGTGTATTGTAAGGCTAAATTTTTATTTAATAATTATTCAAGGCCTCACATTTCTAAAATATTTTCTAACTCCGCCACTGATTAATAGAATAATCATGTGACAACCTTTAATTAAAGAATCTTCAAGGTTATACCCTTCAAAAATAAAATAAAAAATATTTTATATTATAGCTGACCATGGTCAAACTATTAGTAACTCTATGCAAGATAATTTATCAATTTTTAATGAAAATCATATATGCATGACATATATATATATATATATATATATATATATATATATATATATATATATATGTTGATAAAATATATGTTTTATGTGACATTTAAGATATAGCCATCCTTATACTAATATGCTATGAGATAATTAACAATATGTTAAGAAATGATTAATTAAATACACAACTATATATTTAATTAAATATGCAAAATAAAGCAATAAATTAATAAATAAAGAATATGGACCGAGGCTAGTATTAAATACTATGTCCTTAAGACAGATTTACCCTGCTATAGTGCTAACGGACTCAGTGCCATCTATCTTCCAGGATACAACGGTCTATATCCACCAATAGTAGCACTACAAACTCTTGGATACGGCGAACCTCCTCCGTGTAATACTCTCTCTAACTCAAAAATACCTCTAAATATATATAAATGTTAAATTTGATGCATTCCGAACCAAATGGTTCGGACCAATCTTAATATGGTTCGATAAAATTGAATTAAGGTCTAAGTGACTCGGACCATTTGACCTATGGTTTAAACCCACTTGGGTTGGGTTCAAGTCTAGAGAGGAAGAGAGAATAAAATAAACTGAATTATGGTAGCTTAGTGGGATAGTTATAGACTTAGAGATATCTTTTGGTGTATGAGTATGTCTGTTTGGGATACCTCTTGGAGTATGGGTGTCTGTTTGGAAAGAACATATCCTTTCATAGTTTAGTCACCAACAATTCAACCAATTCTTAACTGTCAACAACGTTACGTTCGTTGAATGTTTTGTAACCCAAAACTCACAAATATGATCATGATTCAATGTGACTATTAATTCTCAACCATGCTACCCTGACTTTCCAACCCATCCTTAACCATGTTGAATCACGTGTAAAGGATTTGTTGTAATTTGAAAACTCTGTGTGTTACAGAAACACTCTACATCAATAACTATATTCATGGGTTATTAATATCGCAAAAGATACGGTGGCACCACTCCAGACTCCTTGATTAACAGCGTCCCTTCACACCAATATATATATCTCCAATAAAATTCTTAGGTTGATTGTCAATTTTATTGGATTTTGTGGTTCATTACGACCCGCTTGTAAGCCATAGTGAACTGAAAATCAAATTGACAACTTCCAAAAAAAAAAAAAATCCAATAAAATTGACAATCAACCTAGGATCTTGATGTTAAGTCGTTTGACTGCTTATTATTGAGTCGATTAAGGAAAATGGGTTGCCGAAAATATAGTTACGCCACTTGAATTAAAATATCATTGTGGTAATTTATTAAGGCACAAGTTATATATATATATAAAGAATAATAATAATATAGCTATCAATTAGTCAAGGGCAGAAAATAAAAATGTTTATTTTATGAGAGAAAACTACAACAGAAGATAACTCTTCTAGATTTGTAAGAAAATAACTCTTCTGGAAACTATTATATAAATTGAAGAAAATTAATTAATGAAGAAGCTAATAAGCTATATATCCTACGCGCACAAAGTTCTTCAAGGAAATTTTAGTTTTCGATCTTCACATTTCTTTGCACATCACGTTTTGTAATAACTTAATTTCATGCACTTTAGGTGCCAAGAGTTTTTTTTTTTCCTTTGCTTTGAGAGTCTAATTTAAATATATATATTTTTGAATGGTAATGACATAATTTTCTTAGCCTACTACTTAAGTTCAAGTATTACTCTCGTGCATTACCACTTTTATGGGTAAATGTACTATTCTTTGTCGCGGACGTACAATTTTTTGTGCAAATCGTGTATAGAAAGTGGCATCTAATGACATGGTTCGCACAAAAAATGGTACCTACTTATATAAGAGTGGTACCTTCGTGCACAAAACTAATACTTATATGCATAAAATTGATACATAAAAATATTAAGGGCAATTTGAACAAATAGTAATGATAGTTACATCGAAGCCATGCACCGATTTGTTGGACAGAATAATGTGACAGTCCAGCTGGAAGAGAACGTGATTTAACATGGATTTTTACTAATCTAATTATTCACTTTTAACTGTTCACCATCCCATCACTAATTTCATAAACCTCTCCGTTGTCTCTAATTTCTCACGAAGATAGTGTCCTTTTTTCTTTTTCTTTTTTTTTTTTTCGTTCGTTGCAATCTGCAACAACTCCAACTGTTTTGATGACCTACAACAAGCTTTTGACGATTTATAGAGTACCTCTGGTAAATCAAATATATATATATATATATATATATATATATATATCAATCTCCTTGTATATGTATATGTTGCTGTAAATTTTTTATTTACCAGAGGTACTCAATAGTTCCAAATCATTAAAAAGCTGCAAATCGTCAAAAACTTGTTGTAAATTGTCAAAACATTTGGAGTTGTTGCAAATCATGTCGAATCGGAAGGAAAAAAAAAAAAAATTTAGGATGATGAGAGAAACTTCGTCTAAGAAATTGGGATGAGAAAGAAAACATAATGCTGATGTGTATGGGTTGCAAATAAAAATGTGGACAATATACACGTGGCAATATATTAGTGGCCGGTATCATAAATGAGTTGGTGGGTACTGAACCACCGAATAATTTCTCCATATATGCAGAGAAAGCCACACACATGAACGCTACTTTTCTCTCTCTCTATATATTATATATATATATATATATAGACACAAATATATGTTCTGTAAACCGATTAATTCCTTTCTTCATCTCTAAGAGAAAGAAATTAAAAGGGTTATAATCATTGTCGATTTTAATTGATAAACTCAAAAGTACTTGTTGCTTTCCAAGTCAACAATAATAAAATCTTAAAAGATCTCACTTTGGTTCGTGATTATTTTTAATTTATAAACTCAAAAGTACTTTTTGGTTCGGGATTATTTTTAATTTATAATTAGGTAAAAGTCGAATAGACAATAGGTTCATTGCATCGAAAAGTTATTGATAGAACTTCTTGGTTTTTAAATTTATTGATGTAATTTCTTGCTTCATGGATTTAATTTTTCTTGGGAGTACTTACAATTGTTAGGAAAAACACCAAGATGATTAACGACAAATAAAATAAGTGTAAGAAAAATGAAAAGATTAGTGGCACCAAGATTTAACCTATAGAAACTCAAGAACAAAAATAGTAATCAAGGTTTATTTCAATAAATGTCAATTACATTTTCTTTTGGACAATAATTTTAAGAGGAAATAGTTTAACGGATAAATAAAAAATTTATCTATTGACATTGAATAAGATCAAAATTTTGACATTATTTTATGCATTAAAAATAAAAAAAATTTAACTAGAATTCTTCATTAGATTGACTATTAAATTGATAATAAATCATTGTCTTATTTTTTTCTTTTATCTATGCAAAAATAAGGAGTCAGTTCTTTATTTAAAGACAAACGTTTGCGCATGAAAGTCACTTCCTTCGAGTTTCATGTTTACAATATATATATATATATATATATATATATATATATATACACATTTACTTCATGCACCGAGTCAATGACACAACAGATCACATATATTTATGTACATGTACGTCAACTTAGGACAAATCACGGGGGTCAACAATGCCTTGCAAACTTATGTATGTATATATATTTGTATAATGTACACAAATGACAGTTGCAAATAGGATGGAGCCGGGGCCCCACCCCGTGCCGCCCCGCCCCGTTTATATGTATATATATTTAAGATGTGTGCACATCTCATGCGAAGAACCTTCCCCTCAAATAAGAGTGTACTTGAATCAATCTTGTCTAAGAGACTACCAATCATGCCATCATTTGTGGTGCAATTATCTAAGGTAATGGTACTCAACTTTCTCTCAATGTTCCAATCTAACATGGTATTAATAAACACTTCAGTAAGAATTTCCTTATTATGTGGAGCATGCACATATGTAAACCTAAACATAGTAAAATAAAAAAATATGCATAATTAATAAACAAATAATACATACTCGCATTTGTTTGCACATAAACTAAGTATACAATATATTTCTAATAGATAGAAATAATGCATATAATAAATTTGCCTCAAAATTCTTTGTTGCAATTTTCATGAATCATCAATAAAGTGAGATGTTACCGCCATAAAATCTTTCTTTGAGTGATTACAAGTCCACATATCTGAAGTAATGGCAACTCTACCATTAAGCTCCTCCATAAATTTGCTTGTTTTAACCTTCTCAGAATCATATATCTTTAAAATATCACCCTTAATTGTGTTTCGGAAAACCATATTAAAAAAAGGTTGAAGACTACTATTAACAAACTTTCGAAAACGAGAATGGTTAATCATGGAGAGTGGATACTCATGTACTATGATCATGCAAGCAAGCTCATGTCGTGAGACATTTTGATCAAATACAAAATTACGGTATTCCACTTGTGCTTCACTAGTGCCTTGATTCTTTGTAATATTGGATTGCAAAACAAATTGTCTCAAGTCACCATTTTTCTTTCGTTTCTTGCAAATTTTTATATGGTCATGCAAGCTCATGGTTCCATAATTACTTGGTGCTTTTAACCTTGCCTTACAATGGTTGCAAATACCATATTGCACACCATTAATTGTTTTCGTTGAAAAATCATTCCAAACTACTGATGTCACTTTTCTTTTTCTCTCTGAAGAAATAATTGTCTTATCGAGGGTTCCTAGTGAAGTAGGAACCATAGCTGATGATGAAATAACATTTGTTAAAGGATCTACAACATTATTTTGAGGTTGGAATTCTCCATCTGACATCTTTAAAGTTACTATGCTAAAGATAAAAATAAAAAGCAACAATCAATCAAACTTTTTTATTCCAAAGATGAAGCTAACAAATACTTTTGAAAGAGCAAATGACCCAAGTTTTTAAGTAATGAAAATCATGAGAAAATACTTGCAAAAGACAACAATTTTGCTAGGTTGGGTTCACTTAAGTGATCAAAACAATTAAATCTGACACAAAAATTTTGCTAAGTTTTTGTTTTGTTTTTTTTTTTTTTTTTTTTCCAGAAAATAAACAGTAATAGATGTTGACCCTTAAAAGTTTCCTTTTACTTTTTCCTTCCTTTATTTTTCTCAGCAACCAAACAGAGGGTACAAGAAAACTTTCAGTAATATTGCAGAACAACAGTCAACACAAGTAATCACCAACTGAAAACAAAGAAGAAAACCCCACAAAATTGAGGTCTAAAAGGTTCAAAACAAACAAAAGTTAACAAATTGCAAGGACTAACAGCGAAAATCCATGAAGAAGAATCAGAAGATCCCGCAGAGAGTAGATCGTTGATGTGAGTCACGCGATGAATCCAATATTAGGAACACAGAAAAGAAAGCTTATGGTTTAAAGAGGAAGTAGGAGATAAATAGTTAAATATAGATTACCAATAGCAAAAGCACATAAGACCCAGTAAATCCGAGAAACAAAGAGATCTCAACACTTAACAGAGTAACTGAAATAACTTACTGGACGTCGGTGAGTCGGTGACTTAAGTGATGATCTGATGACGCCGGTGTTTGAGGGAGGATGACAAATTGATAGAGTGGGTGTCAGGCTGTGGTGGCCTGAGGCTGTGCCGCTGTGATCGCTTGCTCAGTTTCTCTCTCTAAGACTAGAGAGAATGAAACGAAGTGACTAGAGTTAGGGTTAGACAAAATGTTCATATACATACTAAATCTAATTTAGTAATAATATATTATATGTAAGGGTATATTAGTAATTTCACATTTAATCGGGGCGGGGCGGAGCGGGGCAGGTTTACCACATCCCCGCCCCCGGTGGGTTTTCATTATTTATCCTCATCCCCATCCCCGTTTACCTAAAAGGATCCCCATCCCCGCTATAAGGGGGCGGGGCGTGTAATGACTCGGTCATTTCCTTCCTTTCCTTTTCCCTCAGAATTTTTTTCGTTGAAATTTCTTTTTTGAGTTCAGTTTTTCGTTACTTAGTGTCGTCTCGAGTGCTCGAAAATGGTTTCTGAGACTCTTTCCTTTGGATTGACAACTTCCTTTGAGTACCGAGTCATTTCCACAATTTTCGTTTTTCGACACTATTCACTTTTTTGTCCTTATTCCTATTTCATCCTTTTCCCTATTTCGTCTTTTTCCCGTTTGTCACTTTGTTGACAAAACCTCACTTCTTGTACTGGGAGTTGGTTTTTGACTTCACGTATCTTTATTGTGAGTGGTTTCCACGAAATATGTATCTTTACTTTTACAGGAAAGTACTTTGTTTGCTCCTGGTGTCCATAGGGGCATGGATGCATAATTTTTTGAAATTAATTTCTTTTCTTGGGGTGTTTTTCATAAATATCTTTTAAAGATATTTTATTTTAGGGGTATCTAAGAAAACATCTTTTGGAAGATATTTTCATTCTGGGGTAGTTTTGCAGTTAACCCTTTTTGTGGGGGCTATTGTGGAATTAATGAAAGTTGTTGCAAATTATCTTGTTTTGAGCCTGGATCCTCGTACGGGATTCATTTTCACTTTTCATTGGGTCGTAAACTCTTAGAAGTCCCTTCTGGTCGATGTTTTTCAGTTTCAGGGTTTTTGGCTCCGGTTTGCGCCAAACTTGTTTGGGGCATAACTTTCAGCTTGGGACTCGGTTTTTGACGCCGTTTATTCCGTTTTTCTTATTTCTCATTTTGAATCTTTTTCGTTCACAAAGTTTCATCATTTCCGTTCGGGGCACTTTTTGAGATTTCTATAAAAGGGGGATGAGATATTTTATTTTTTCATCTTCCCCATTCTCTTACACAACCTGAAGCTTCCATGGCAGCCCAAGGGAGGTTGCCACCTTCTCTCTCCTCATTTGAACTTCATTTCTTTATCAGAACATAGTATGGCCTTTGCGTTTTGTGTTCGTATTGACTACGCGCTTCTTTCACCCTTATTAGAACCCGTTTTTGACCAAATTTTGAGTTCGGGTTTGAAGTCAAGTTGTGATTTTGAAGGGGCTTCTTGTGGGTTCATGTAGATCGTGTTGTCCTCGACAAAACCCTTCGGTATCGTCGGATTCGGAGAACTTTTTTTTTTTGTGGGCTTTTGAGATTTTCATCTCAAATTGAGGTAGGGGATATCTTAGGTTTATGTTATTGTTGTATTAATTGTTTTATAAGCATATACAACTTGTGAGCATTCCTTATTCAAGTTTTTAGAATTTAATTTATTTATTTTCTTTGTTTAGGATTTAATTCTAATGATGATATATAATTTAGAATTAAATTGTGGCATGCTAGTAAATTAGGCCTTGGTGAGTTGTGTAACATATATTAAATTTGGAGCATTTGAGTAAGAATTGAAAAACTTATTTAATATTTATCTTTTGTGAAAGATTAATTCACATAGTTGTATCAAGTGTGAAACCAACTTGTAATATGATATTAAAGTAGGCCTTAGTGAGTTCTTTAACATATATTAAATTGAGGACATTTAGATATGTTTGAAAATCTAGAGAAAAATTAATTAATGAGCTTAATTAATTTTATTTTAAGTGTGTTGGTCACTCAAATTGATATTAGAGGAAATAGGTTGATAATTCCTCGAAATGTAGTCTGTTTAATCACCTTGTGAGCATGTTACTAATTTGATATAGAATTAGTACTTGAGACCTTTTGAAATGGTAATTGGACTTAGCATAATATAGAATATCATTGACTTGCATAACTTGTTTAGATATATCTTGTGTAGGTGTATAGCTTGTTAGAATATTACAATTGTTTACCTTGGAAGCTAGTTATTAAATTGGGACTTATTTAGTACTTGTGGCTTAGTGTGGTAATGTGGTTCAATTGTTGTAAAATATTCTTGTTTTGGTGTATAAATTGCATATTGGAGGCTTGACATGTCATATGCTATATAGACTTGAATTATAGGACATGGTTTGTGTGGATTCAACCTTATTTGTGCATGGAAGATGGTTTTATGCATTAGTGGATTTGGTATAAGTTTACCCTAACTTATTGATTTTTGTACAAGTTTTGGACTTATTGAATTTGGAAAGCTTGTAAGGACATATTTCACGTGATGGCTAAGGTTTGGCTCTAGTACGGAGACAAGAGTCTTCTAAGTCATAAGTGTGCACTAGGTAGTACCTTGTGGGTCGTAATTGCCCAGAATAACTTATGCATGTGCGCACTAGGCAGTGCCTTATGGGTCCCAGAAACACTTGCTTGGTCTAGTGACCACATGTCCTAGTCTTTCTACTTTGATTTCGCATTCAATTTCAAGTTGTTAATCATGGATTACTTGTAACTTGAGAATTGGTGCTTGCCTATGTATTTTGATCTCATTTAGTATACTTAAAACTGTATACTTGAACTAGTATCCTTGTTGGCGTATCTAAACTCTATCTAGTGTATTTACGCTTAGTATGCTTGTCTTGTGTGTGCGGATTTCATTTTTGTATACTTGTGCTATGTATACTTGTCTTGTGCGTATGTGTTTAGCTTAGTATACTTGTGTTTGTATACTTGATTTATGAGTACTCTATACATATATCTTATACCTGTGTATGCATGCTAGATATTGCTTATCCTGTTTAACATGATTTAGTATACTTGGGAGCATGTGTACTTGAATGTCGTGTATCATGTTTGAATACGGTTTAGTGTACTTTGGCATGTATACTTGTATGCCGTAGTTTATTTCAATTACATGAGTAGTTTAGGATGCTTCCTGAGTCTCATTTTGATATAGACGTTAGGTGGCATGAGCCCTTTTAACATGTTTCACCATAAGGTGATCTTATTGTAAAATGCTAGGTCGATGCATGCTCATCTCCTACAAGTAGCTTTATGTTACTCACCCGCGTAGTGGGGACATTTTTCAGGTACAGGAATCAAGATTCGAGATTCTCATATTGCTTGGATGATTTGTAGCTTTGAAGGTTTCAATTCTTGTAAAAGTTGGCTTGAAATGCCACTTGTAGCCTTATATGTCAAAATGTGTATATTTGATTTCAATTATATAATGTGTACATAAATACACTATATGCAATGTATTTAACATGTATGAGAAGAGGCCAGAGGCCAATGACATGTATCTTGTATTCTATGCAACTTTAACTTTATGAAATATTATGAAAATATTAAAAAATGCTACGTCATTGCTTCATAACTTTTGCATTGGGTGTGGGAATTCCATTCTTATTCTTTCATAGGGTCTTATAAATCATGTTTGAAGTGTGGCCAAGGGCCAAACGGTAATTTGAAATCATTTGATAATTTTGGTTTTCAAATTTCTCTTTTCTTGTTCATTTTTGCCTTTTTGCCCGTTGGGTGGTCGAATTTTGTATTGGTGGTATTTTTAAGCCATGGACCATTGTAGCGCATCCAAATAGGTAAGTTACGTTTGCGTGCATGGTCGTTTCCAGGCAAACCTTCTTCTTTGGTGAAATGAGCCTCCTATGGACTCATTTTGAAATTTTGTTGCATAATCTGATCTAAGGGCATTCTAGACCTTTCACATCAGTTTCAATTTCTTCTTTAAACATGGTTGAATAGAAAATGTGATTTTAGGGGGGGTTTCTTCTTCATGTTTTTCCAGAAAATGTCATCTTGGTACCGGAAATCCCTCGTGAAGTTTCAGCTTCCAGTTTGCATTTTAACAACTTTTTGGCCTTCATGACTAGATTTCATGGAGGGGCATTTTGGGCATTTTATAGTGAGTTTTTTTTTTTGAATTCTTGCGAGTCACGTAGAAAACTCAATTTTAGGGGGTGTTTCTTCTTCGTGTTTTTCCAGAAAAACTCGTCTTG